TACTAACGATGTTCTTTGTCACGATCCGGATTTTCCATCCTCGGGTGTTGTGATGACGCCTACTAGTGAAACCTAGGCAAGCCAATCATTCCAGATATTTTACCTTTTTTATTTTTAATCCTTTAACAATTGTGAATTAACATTATATAAATAGCTGAAATAATAAAACATAGAATGGAATGTAACAATTTGAAATAAAACCAATCCATAAACAAAAACTACCCAGAACTGGTGTCACAATTTCACAGACTGTCTAAGAATACTACAAATAGAGGTTCGAAAGATAAATACAAAACTGTTTCTGAAATACATAAAAAACAGTATGGAAAGATAGAAGGAGACGCCAAGGCTTGCGGGTGCCTGTAGGACTACCTCTGGTCTCCCGATGGACTGAAGGCAGCAACCTCACTGCGGTCAAAAGCTGCAGCACCAGGATCTGCACACATTGCAGAGTGTAGTATCAGCACAACCGACTCCATGTGCTGGTAAGTGCCTAGCCTAACCTCGGCGAAGTAGTGACGAGGCTAGGACAAGACTACCAAATAATCCTGTGCAGTTAAATCATATACAACGGGAAAATAAAGGCAGATATTTACAATTAAAGATAAGAGGGGGAAACATGCTGCGGGGGAATATCAAGTAACAATAGAAAGCCAATAGATAAATGTGAACACCATAACTCAATTTTCAACAAGAATCAGGAAATCAAAGACAAGCGCACGACATCACCCTTCGTGCTTTTACTCTCGTCCTCACCATACGAATCAATAAAATCGGCGCATTATCACTCATATCATGGCACGTCATTGTACATTGTGCGGCACGACATCGCCCTTCGTGCCTTTACACTCTCAAAATCATGCACGACATCACCTTTCGTGCTTTACACTCTTCCTTACCCAGGCAACAATCACAAAACAATTTGGGCAAGTGAATCAATAATATCACAATAAAATCCCGGCAAGGGAACAATAACATAACAACAATGTCATGGCAAATGAAACAATATCATGAGTAATAATATCCCGGCAAGGGAGATAATATCAAAAGCAATAACATCCCGGCAAGGGAGACAATATCATAAACCTCTTCTCTTTTCCACATTTACTTCACAACTCAATTCTCAACTTGACCCAATGCTCAACAGTGTTCAATTACCAATAATACTTCCACAAGCCTTAGAAACCGTCATATAAAGCATGAAAAATACGAAACAGAGTCACATTAATCATAGTATAAGACTCGCGAGCATGATTTACACCGACATATAGATACTCGTCGCCATGCCTATACGTCGTACTCAATAATTAACACATAACAAATAAGACTCAACTCCTAATCCCTCAAGCTAAGGCTAGACCAAACACTTACCTCAATGCCACGAACACAATTCAAGCCTCAACTACTGGTTACCTCTTGTTTCCACGACTAATTCACTTGTATCTAGACACAATTTACTTAACGATATCAGTAAATGCTAAATGAATCAATTCTAATGCATGGAAATAGTTTTTCTAAAGATTTCCCCAAAAAGTTAAAAATTGACCCTGGGCCTACATGGTCAATACCCAAGGTTCAAACCAAAACCCGACTACCCATTCACCCACGAACTCAAATATATAATATATTTTGAAATCGAACCCCAAATCGAGGTCCAAATCCCCAAAATTTGAAAATCCTAAGTTCTACCCAAAACACCTATTTTCCCGATGAAAACCTTGATTTTGAGTTGAAATCATGTGAAAAGATGTTATAGATTAAAGAAAATGAGTTAGAAATGACTTACAATCGATTTGGAGAAGAACATTTCTTTAAAAATTCGCCCAAGAGAGCTTAGGGTTTGAGGGAGTTTGAAAAATAAAGAAAAATGCGTCTAAGTCCCAATTAACTGGTCGCAGATGTCGCAATTGTGAAGCTCGCAAATGCGAACAAGGCCTCGCATTTGCGAACTTGGGCATTTTCTGCTAATCTCGCAATTGCGATACTGGGCATTTTTTGATGACTTCGCATTTGCGAAGGGTGGTTCGCAATTGCGAACACTGGCAGACAAGACTTTCTTCGCAAATGCAGTTAAGCCCTCACAATTGCGAAGCCTGACCTCGCAATTGCTAGATCAGAGCCTGCAACACAGTTGAACCTGCAACAACCATTTCCCTAAGTCCAACTTCACTCTGTGGCCTATCCAAAACTCACCCGAGCTCTCGGGGCTCCAAACCAAACATGCACGCAAGTCCAAAAACATCATACGAACTTGCTCGTGTAATCAAATCATCAAAATAACATCAACAACTATGAATTGAACCTCAAATTCATGAAATCACTCAAGAATATCAAAATTACTATTTTCTCAACTATAGGTCCGTTTTATACCAAACCAATTCCGATCTTTACCAAATTTTACAGATTCAACTTAATTATTATTTCAAACATGTACCGGGCTCTGGAACCAAGATACAAGCTCGATAACATCAAGAAAATGCATCAATTCACATCTAACAACCTTTATATTTTCCAGAAAATAATTTCTTTCAAAAATTCATTTCTCCGGCTTGGGACCTCGGAATTCGATTCCGTGGATATGCCCAAGTCCCAAATTTTACTACGAACCCTACGAGACCATCGGATCACGGGTCCGGGTCTGTTTACTAAGAATGTTGACCAAAGTCAACTTTATTCAATTTTAAAAGCCAATTTTCATATTTTACTTAGTTTCCACATAAAAACCTTTTGGAAACGTGTCCGGACTGCGCACGCAAATCGAGGTGAGACAAAAAGAAGTTTTTAAGGCCTCGGAATACTGAATTTACTTTTAAAACAAGTGATGACCTTTTGGGTCATCAAATTCTCCATCTCTAAAACAGCCGTTTGTCCTCGAACGGACATAAGAAAAGTACCTAAGTCAGAGAAAATATGGGGATATCGGCTCCGCATGTCGAACTCGGACTCCCAGGTCGCTGCCTCAACAGGCTGACCTCTCCACTGAACACGAACAGAAGGAAAACTTTTCGATCTCAACTGACGAACCTGCCGGTCTAAAATAGCTATCGGCTTCTCCTCATAGGGCAAGTCCTTGTCCAGCTGAACAGTGATGAAGTCTAACACGTGGGTCATCACATTCTTATTTATAGATTAATATAATTCCTAAGGGTTAGAACGTCTTGAGAGTAGACATGCAACCATTTTCATATTACGAACTATCCAACATGTATTAGTGTATTTTCTTTTCTTCTTGCACGCTTGGCGCAGACCAAAAACTAAACATTTTTATTGGCTAGGAGCGGAAAAGTAGAATTGGGGAATCATATCCAAAAAGTGTCAACCTCCTAGCCTTTTCAAACCTTTGAAAACTAAACATTTTCATATATATATATATATCCACTAGTTATCAGCTGCACTCCACTAGCCTTTTCAAACCTTTGAAAACCAAGATACAGTGATAGTATGACAAGGTTTTTTTAGCTAATTAGTACAATGTATTGGTAAGTTATTGTTTATGATGGGTTGTTCAGACCTGGACCACAATCGACATGCTTGCACTCGCCTATGGGAATGATTAATTTAGTTAAGGACTAAACTTTATTGTGTAGTTTCCAGAACTCTCATTAGAAATGTGAAAAGAAGTCTCGAAATAGTTGGAACTGATAAAACGTAAGAACCATCAGCTGGTTCTACCCCTGCACACACGGACAATGTTGGGAATAAACCCCTTACCAAAATAATATTCACGGTAATAAAGCGGAATAATAATGTAGCACCGAGATACGGTAATTAACAAGAATAAAAGAGTAACAATGACACCAAGATTTTTACGTGGAAAACCCTTCTGAATAAGGGAAAAAAAACCACGACCCCGAGAGGAGCAACCGATATCACTATAGTAAGGAATTTTACACTTTGTAGGTCGGAGGTAAATACTCCAAAGACCACTACAACACTCAAAAGAAATAACCCTCTTTTGATATTCCCACCTCACTACAATATCGCTCACTCTCTATTTTCCTCACAGACTATTTTCTTATACCTTGTCTGTGAAACCTCACTCTTTCTTTCTCTCTTTGTTGGTGTGAAGAAATGAGAGTTGAAGCTCTCCTTTTATAGCCAAAGCTTCACCCTCTAAAGCCTACAATATTTGACAATTTACACACATTTTTCACAATTCAACAAAGTTGGCTACCAAACCAAAGAAATTCAACAAGGTTGGCTACCAACCAAACCAAGTCAACAAGGTTGGCTACCAAACCAAAGAAAACTCTTATTAGGCACATGCCTAATACTTCTTCAATGAGATGGACATCATCAGACAATTCTTCACACACAGGGTGTGTTTGGTATGAAGAAAAATATTTTCTATTCTTTTGGTAGGGAAGTCATTTCCGAGTTCACGAGAAAAATATTTCTATAATATTTAAGCCAACCAAATATTTTCTGAAAATATTGGATACTGCTGGAACTATGCTATATGAATTATTTACGAGGTCAACATTTACTATTTTTAGTGCATAGATAGTCATCTAGTGTACTGCTTGCAAGGTCATCTTTCATAAGAATTTTAGAGTCAAATAGGATACGATTAGTATTCTATGTATATAGAGTCAATACGCTGGGGGTGCTAAATGCAGAGGATAATCCAGGATTTAGAATTAGTTGATCCAGAATTAGTATGATCTTATTATATGCATGTATTTTAATTTTTTCTTCACATGTATATATAGTTCGAGCTGAAAAACATAGCTGTTTAATTGAACCTATAAAACATGTCATATATCCGACACTACTAAAAATACATTTACATTGATACCAAAGATAAATAAGGTAAACCTGTTTTCAAATACTTAAAGATGAGAGAGTATCGACCATTTTCCTTTCTTTCCCTGCATCCTCCCCCAGTCCAAATCCCCAAAACTCCTAGCAAGTCAGTTAAAAAGTAGCAGTCACATTAATCAGAAATAGAATCACTTGCTGTAATGCGGATCATAGCATGAGATCCATAATAGAAGTTATAGAAAAACTTCAGAGATGTCATTGCATTATTACTGGTGAACGTACACATATTTAGTTGTGCATACTTGCTAAATATAATTACAAGTTTACGAATAAAAAGACGAAGTTTATGATTTTTCTCAGTTTAACCATCTGGTATCCGAAGCACAATACTGGCCGAATAATCCAGATTTACGCCGAGTAGTCTCAAGGGATAAAGGCTTATTACCAAGAAGTTCTTCATTTCCAGGCTCCAACCCGAGATTGTGATTATGGATGTTTATGATCATGAGAAGATTTGAAGCTGGGAAGGAAACAGGGAATATAAGAATATGTCTCCATGTAGGGACAGTACCTTGGCTGAGCAAAAAATGCTACACATTCAGCAGTGGATCTTTGAGATGGCAATCCAGGAATGCAGTTTTTCCTCACATCAACTACGCCTTCCTTGATCAAACTTAGGCAAATCGGCCCGACTCCTATAAAAAAGTTATGAGACAATGACAAATTGGCCAAATTCCCCAGTGAACAGATCACCTCTGGTACCATCCCATACAACTGATTTCCTGCAAAGTTCAAGACCTCCATATTCTCCAAGCACCCTAATGAGAATGGAAGTGGACCTGTAAGCCTATTGTTTCCGGCATCAAAGACAACTGCTTCATTCAAGAGTCCAAGTTCATATGGAAGACATCCACTTAACAAGTTGTTAAGTAGCAAAATTTCACTCAAACTCGCAAGGATTTTGGAAATACTACGCGGGATTGGACCGAAGAATCTGTTGTTGGCTAAGGTAAGATAAAGAACATGGCTGCTGCTGCCTAAGTTATCAGGAAATTTCTGCATGAAATTGTTGTTGTTGATGAAGAGTGCATCAAGCTGGTCCTTTGTGAATAACTGAGGTGGCACTGATCCAGTGAAAGAGTTGAATCTTATGTCCAAGAAAGACAGGCTATTCATGCCCAATATGGCTGGTGGAAATGGTCCAGAGAATTGGTTGTTACTGATGTCAAGTTCATACAGATATGGAAGATTGGCAATATTTGCAGAAAGAGTACCACTAAAGTTGTTGGAATTGGCATGAAAGAGTGCTATGTCAGGGAGCTGATCAAGGAATCCGTCGAGATTCGGGGCGCTTAGTTGGAAACCATTGAAATCAATGGAAGCAACAGCAATTGCAGATTTGTCGTCTGGGGGAGTATCACAGTAGAAACCAGTATAATTGCATATGTTTGGACCAACCCAAGATTTTGTGACACCTAAAGGGTCAGAAGTGATGATATTCTTGAATTTCTGGATGATGGGGTACACAACAGCAAGTCTTTGATCAGCAAAAACTAATTGGTTCTGTCCCTTTGATGGAGCAGGTGCTTGTGCTACTGCAGCTTTTCTCCTACCATGGCCACTGGAAGCAATGGTAAATTCAAGTGTCTTAATACTATGTCCAATAAGGAACATGCTGAAGACAAGAAGGACAAATTCGATACCATTCATCATCTTTAAATTAGATACAAAGGCAAAACCAAAAATTTCAAGCCAGAGGCAAAAGAGAGAACAAAAGAATCAAGTTCACTATGCATGAGTCATCTCTAGTTATTTTATAGTCTTGGAAACTTTTTGTGCTGATTAATCACAGAAATTAACCTAAACTTACGGCCTATGGGTGTGATTAGTCCATTTTTTAAAGTCATGTCTATTACGAACCTGCAGGTATTAAAAATTTCAGACTGCAAAAAGAAAAAGAGAAAAACAAGAGTCGAAAAGCTGTTTGGTTGTGGCCACAGGGTGAGCATGCTTTCCATCATTAAAGAAATGAAGGTGACGTCCATGTTACCTTTTTTGACATTTTGTTACCAGATTGGCCACAATAAACAGATCCCAATTATTAGGTTAGCTTTTCCTTTACATAAACATACACAATATATACATATTTACACATATATATTAGTAACTGGAATCCAATCAATATATCTGGCCTGTCATAATAGGTACTAGTTTTGATGCAGTACAGCGCAGGTTATATATGCTATCTTCCTAATGTTTTACCAAACATGAATGACAAATTTTTATTGACATCATTAGTGCATCATGCAGCGTCTCTTTTCCATCTTCAGAAGTTAATTCTGAACATTAGTGGACCACATAACGTTAAAGTAGGTGTGCATTTCTTAATAATTGGCTAAGTCGTGGCATTAACATTAATTTCTTTGCAATTATGATTGGTATGATTTCTGGTTAGAGTATAATCATATTAGGTTTGTCGATTTTATTTTTTCAAATAACTGGCCGATCTTTGTCAGTATTTAACAATCCTGAAAATTTCTTATGAACAAACCGACCGACTTTGGTCGGTAGTCGGTCGTCAGTATTCTATACAAAAATTGGCAGGCAGTGCTTGTTTTATAGCTATACCACTTACCAAATAAAAATCATCATCTATATCTATATCTATCTATCTATACTATTATAAAAGTGGGAACCTCAAAAGCTAAAAGTTAAATTATCAGATTGTCCTTCTAAATAACCTAAATATCTACTTATTAAAAAGAAATAATTAAAACTAAATTCATTTGAAGGGGTATACGTTTTAATTCGAAGGGGTGTAATTTTTATTTGAAAGGGTGTATCAGATTAGTTACTAAATTAAAGTTATTCTTGTTGCTTGCATCTTTTCGTAGTAAGTCATTTCAATTCAACGTCAAGAGTTAATGAAGAAGGCATATATCATGCAACCTTCTTTATTTGGGAACAGTGATCAAGGATGTTAGTTCTGTTTACCGTGAAAATAGTAATAATAATTAGATTTGATTTTGTGATTCTAAAAATATGTGATCTATTTTTATGCTAGTTGTTAGGCAATGGATGCTAAGTGAAGGATTAGAAGATAAGACAAGAACTTGTAGATAGTGCAATAATTGAACCGAATGGCGGGAAATCGGGGTCTCGGGCCTACATATACTGGGCCTCGAGGTCGAGTCGGATGCCCGACTAAGGGCAGTCGATGGAGGATCAACCGTTATGGTAAATTTGATGGCAGCTCTTTATGGCCAATAACGAGCAACATACGAAGAACAATAAATAGAACATAATAAACGCAAGCAATAAATGTAAATAATAGGGTCAAGAGAGAGTGTGTTAGAGAGCCAAGAGAATGTTCTTGTATATTCAATGTTGTAAGAAAATAATCTCTCCCTTCAAAAAACAGTAAAGTTCCCCTTTATATAGGAGGAGGGAATTCCATCATAGTACGTGTGTATTTATTACAAAGTAAAATAGTTGGCACAACTACCTAGCAGTCTGGTGCAGACTGGTACTATTCTTGTAGGTGATGTCATTTCGGACCACATGCTTAGGGAACTTTCCGCTTATCCATGATAACCATCGACTCGCGCTGCATCGAGGTTGGGTGTGAAGAACCCTCGAGGTCAAAACTTCGAACTGCGCCCCCGGGTCTTCGAGGCCTTTTTGAAGCTAAGGGAAAGACATAGTGATCGTGAAATCGGGCTTCCCGATTTCACCCGTATACAGATAGTCCCCACGTTTCTTAGAGTAAAATGATAAGAAATGATCTAGAACTCCTGCCTCTTCGATACTTCCATCACGACGGTAGTTACGCCCTGCCAAACGATTGGTACGACAAAATGAGGTGCCAAAAGGTAGCATACACACAGCCCTTAAAAGCTTTCGAATTGATTATAGCAGTTGGCTGTCCTTTGGCCTGCTCCATCGTGCGTGTTAGGCCTTTGTAAATACTTATTCTCTTACTCTTTATTGTTTACTACACCACCAAACCCTCAAAAGAGTTCTTTCTACCTTTCCATTTTGTTCTCTTTTTGAAACGCAATTTTCTTTTCCTCTTTGAAATCTTTTGAGAATGGCGAAAACTTCCACCTCTGTCCCTCAGAAAAATGTAGCCTCCTCTTCCTTGCTTTCGTCTAAAGGCAAAGCAGCAGTGCCTCCTCGCGTTGGGGAATGCATTCCAGGGTCCTTGCAACGACTCCCGATTTCAAGATCAAAAAACCTTCTTTGAAACTGGGATGACGCGAGCCTGCATCTCAATATATTAGCTCAATAACAGACGTCGAAAGAGTGATGGCTGACTGCCGCTGAAGGGACGCGGTACTTATGGAGATCCCTTCTCGAGAGGAGGATATAACGACATACAAGGCCGAATTTCTCAGTGTGTATACTTACCCATTTACCTTTGGGCCGGTGGGGACATCCTTGCCTCTGATAGACCCCGTGATTCTCGACTTCTGCAAACGGTATCGAGTGATCCTCGGCCAAATTCACCCTTCATTCTGGCGCATTGTTTACATGATCAGGTATTATGTGAACATGATTGAGGAGATGCCCTTCACCTTACATCACCTGGTCAGGATGTATAGTCCCTGACTCTTCTGTGGGGGCCTGATTAAGCTTCACTATCGAGCTTCGAGGGCCTTTTTTGCTTGTACCGATGACGTTGGGAACGGAGGGTGGATGAGCCATTTTTTCCGAGTTAGGACTTCAGACCTGATTCCGGTGGACAGGATGTCATTCCCCAAAAAGTGGAACATGGAACGTAAGTAGATACATTATTCAAAGTTCCCTTGATCCTTTTTAGATACATCTCCCTATGCACTAACTTCCTCTACTGATCCAGCCGTTGCAGTTTACCCTAGCGCGGTTAAGGACCTCTTGGGCTGGGTCGACCGGCTGGATTCAATTTGCCTATACGCTGAGCGTGTGTGGCATGATCCATCCCAAGCTCGATGGGAAGCCAAGGACCACAGTGAGCTTTTACTCCTGCTGTAGTTGTACCTTTTAATAGAACTGCTGTTGATAGCGTCCTCACTCCCTGTGTTTACATTTTGCATTTGTGCAGGTCTGGGGGAGGTCCCCTTGATGAGGGAAACACCACTTGGTGAAGCGGATACCTCGAAACCCGATGAAGGGAAGAAAAGACAAAGGGAATCGTTGATTGAGCCTTTGGAATCCAAGAAGACCAAAGGGGAAGAACCTAAGGCTGACCCAGCAGCCTTAACTCCGGAAGTAGCGGGGAGGGAAAAATGATTTCTCAATAGCATCCGAGGGAGGGGAAAAACCGATCGACCCTTATACCGCAGGTGGCTCCCAAGTCGGAGCTTGGTACCGTTGTTGTCCAACCTCGGGCTGATGATGCCACTGAGGAGGTATTGGGTAATGTTCCTGAGCCAGCTGATGGCCAAAATATTCCTCGAGCTGAGCACATTTGGTAGGCAGTTCGAAGGAACCCGGTTCTGAAGCCCTTCACAGACAAGAGACGACCCCGATTGATCCCGTTGGTGTTATTGACGTGAGTGATTCTCCTATGGGAACGACCTTACCTCCTAAGGAAATGCAAGATGCCCAGAATAAAGAACCTTTCGATGTGGGGGTGACCTCAGAGGTAGAGATATGTTTGAAAGACCTTTAGCCGCACCCAAGAAAATCCCCGAGCTCGATGCTTCACTCATTTTCAGTGAGATGAACAAGCTTTGTGAGCAGGTAGTTTTTGTAAATTTTGCCCGTCGTCCTGACCTTCCTCTTTCTAACTTGTCTCTTTCATGGCTCCAGGCCAGGGCGCTTTATAATTAGACCTTCTCCCGGTTTCAAGCTGAGGTGACTCATCATGAGCGTGAGAAGACTTATCTTGTTGAACAGGTTACCTAGTTTTCGTTTGCTTTTGTCTAAATGTTTGCTAGATCTCAGCGTTTTGACACCTTTGATCTGATTTGTGCAGTTTGAGAAGAAAGATGCCCTACTGTGGGAGGAGCTCCGAGTCAGAGACTCCGAAATCCTCGTACTCAAACAGCACGTGAGGGAGATAACTTCTGAGAGGGATACCCTCCAGGGAAAAATGGCCTTAGTCGGGCACCAGCTTCATGATGCGAGGGAGGATAGTGATAAGTATAGAGGTCTCCATACTAAGTTAGTTGCTGCGCTATCCGGGATCAAAACTGAAGCCGAGGCGCTTATATCCTTGCACAAAAAGGATGCCGTTGTAATAAGTGCTCAAGTCGAGAGCATGCCTGAGGGGGTCGAACTGAAATTAACTCGAGCCATGGAGCATGCTCGGTTAGAATCTCGGAGGCGGACTCGATGATATACACGCGGGGGGCATTGATCTATCTGCCGAGGTCGTGAGGGTGAAGACCCTAGAGAAGAAGGCTGCTGCCCTGTTTGCTTTTGGAGGTGTGTCGAGCAATGGCTTAGGAGATGATGAGAATGAAGGCAGAATCCCCACAGGGAAAGAGGCCGTTGAAGGTCTTGGGGCCTTGGCCGGTGTAGATATCCAATTTTTTCCTTCAATATTTTGAAATGCATATATACCTTTAAAACTATGCATTAGCATCAATTGGTATTTTTTCATAATTTTTATATTTTTAAATTAATTTATCTCAGTATTTTATTCATATAAATAATTACAAAATTGCATTACAGATGATTTTAAAACATTTCTTGATTTAATATTACCATTTATGGTCCTATTAAGTCCGAATTATTTCATAAATGGCCAAATTGGCACTTTTTGGTTACAATTGCAATAACGCCCATGCATACATTATTGCATTATTTTACCAGAAATTGGTCCATTGTATTTTTAAAATACTAAATAATTATTTTAAAACATTTCTATGCATAAAAATCATTTTTTATAATAAGTTAATTATTTCACAAATTAATTTTATTCAACTGTTTGGGTATTTAATAAATAGCCCCTTTTTATTTTCAATTTTATCCTAGAATACTAGCCCAAGACCACTTATAATTTGGC